GAAAACGGAAAGATTTTTAATGACAATCATTTTAGAAGTTAGTGTTCTGTAACCCCGTGACCAAAGTATAAGTTGATTTAACAGAACACGAAAACGTTGCAATACGAGCGACGAAATTGGTGGCAGCGGTGGGATTTATTGCAACATTGCTAATATTGCAACATTGAATATATTGTAACATTGTTTATATTGCAGCATTGCATATATTGCAACATTGATTATATCGTAACCTTGCAACATTGTAGGAATTGCAACATTGCAGAAATTGCAACATTGCAGAAATTGCAACATTGCAGAAATTGCAACATTGCATAAATTGTTAGATATATTTTGTAACATTGTATAAATTGTTAGATGGATTAATAGATTGCAAGCAATCGTGAAATTGAAGACAGAAGAAAACATTTTCTTTGCAATTTCAACCTAGTTTGAAATTGTATGATTCTTTGTGACTCATATGAGACGCATTAATCCTGGATTGTTAAAACCAAGCAGTTTGAAAAAACAAATATATTGAGGTTCAGAGAATAAAATCACATTAACTTTTGATCTTGTGTTGCAAGAAAACCTTAGAAAAATGGCTTAAGCACGATTACTTGGCGGCGCAGTCACCTATTTTAGTAAGAATGATATTGTAGAGGCAATTTACAGATAATGAAAGGAAGAATTTTAATAAGATTATCGGATTACCGTATTTTGTGGAGGCAGTGAACCAAGCCTTATGCACGAGTTGTCATCTGTTACTCGTAGACCGAAAGAGACATTAACTGAACTCTACATCAGAATTGAAGGCATTGTTGAGCAGTTAGAATCACTTAAGCCTACAGGCAAGGAAGTTTATAGTGATATGTTTGTTTCCATTATTATAAATGCATTACCCAAAGACTTCTCAAACATTTTAACAGAAGCTGATATGAAAATTCCTTTGACTGTCTATAAAAAGGCATTAAAATATGTAGCCTCACATCCAAGCCCTCAGCTTAAGGATGTTGCAATAAGGAAAGAAATGAGTAAGGGTATTCCAGTAAATTCCATCACCTCACAGGAAACGTTTGTTTATCAGATACCAACAGGAAGAAAAAAGATTTATTGTCAGAGATGTGAGATAATCAGTCACGACACACAACACTGTCGAGCCTCAGATGTCATCGATTTGGTCATAATTCTAGGTGCCGATTCATCTATGGTAGTTATAGGAGCAGTGAATGGAAAATCAGGCCACGTATTTATTTAAGAGAAACTAGGAGATAAAATTGGTAAGGAGCAATTAGCATTAATTAATACTGGAGCAGGAGTCTCTATAATAGGAGCTGAATTAGCGAGAGCATTAGGAAAAATTAAAATAATTCAAGATTTAACCACAATCCGTAATGCAAGTGGAAATGTTATGGCCATTGCAGGAAAAACAAGATTAACACTAGAAATAGGAGGAAGAAATTATATTCATGAATTAATTATTAATGAAGAAAGAGAATTAACTTCACAATTGATATTAGGCTGGCATTTTATGAAAAGGTACGATGTGAAATTTCAGACTAACCC